AAAAAAAAAGACGGTTTGCAAGACAATTGATGCATTATGTGAGGGGCTAGATCAATTTGTAGTTTCCTTACTTCTCCACCAAGACAATATTTTGCAGATCAAGTATTTTATTTATTAGCGATTTTATTACACACTAACATTCCAACGCACACAACGCGCAGACAAATTCTTAAATCCATGCCTCCTGTTGTAATTGCCGGCTTGCTTCTCCTTGCCTGCCATTTCCCTCTTAACGATCTCCTCGTGCATTCGGAACGATCCCAACTGAGCAGGAACAACAGGCAACGGGGAGCGGATTTTCCGTGAGAACATGAGCTCGGCCGGGGAGAATCCATTTTCAAGAGGTGTTGTCCGATACGCCAGCAGGCCCAAGTTTATGTCGCTTGACTTTTTCAAAATGTTCTTTGCAATTTTCACCGCCGCTTCGATACACCTGTTGCTCTGTGGGTAATGTGGCGAACTTGTTACGTGCTTGAAATCGTACCTGCTTGCGAACTTCTTAAATTCCGATGCGAACTGTGGGCCTTTGTCGCTACGAACGACTTTCAGTATCCCGAACCACGCGAAAATCGTTTTACAAACGCTTATTACATCTGATTCTGTCATTGATTTTAGGCTTTGGACCTCTATATATCGGGTATAGTAGTCTGTCAAGATCAGGTACCATTGATTATGTTTGAATAAATCTATGGAGACCCTTTGCCATGGACGGCTCGGGAACTCCTCTGACACGAACTTTTCCCTGTGATTAGTTCTTTCTTCTACACACCGCGGACAGTTTTCAATTAGATTTTTTAATTGTGTACTGAGCCCTAGCCACCAAACGGATTGCTTGGCTCTTTCGCGACACTTACCTATGCCTAAGTGGCCTTGATGGATTTTGTTAATGATGTCTAACTAAAGCGACGGAGGTATAACAAGCCTTGAATTGTACAGTAAATAACCCTCCACGTAAGAGATGTTCTCTTTGAATGGATAACAGGGACGTAGCTCATTTGACAATTTGCCGCGCTCCGGCCATCCATGCATACAATACTCCCTAAGCGATTTACAAACATGATCGCTTTCTTGCTTGCTTTTAATTCTTTCCAGCATGCACTCCGTGGCGGGTAAGGAGTCGACTACTAGTTTTACATGCAGTTCCGTTTCTCGTTCTAGAGTATCACCGTCGGCAACCCGACTCGACTTTACGTTCCTCGATAACGAATCGGCTAGGACCAGCATTTTGCCTGGA